AAAATACTTGGCCGTAAGGAACACAATCAGCTCTGAATCGAGGCAAAAATAACACAAAACATGATTCTCGTAAGCAACAGCGGGCACCGTCATTTTTATCCCGTGCCAACTAGATGCCAATCCGGTAATCTGAATCCTCTGGGGGTACAAACTGCAAATGGAAAACCAGTATAGGAAAGGCCAAGGAGCAGGTCTAGCCCAGTGCAGGGAGCATATGGTAATGGAGAATGCAATGCTACATGTCTCAAGGATGGGTGGGCTGCACACGCCGACTCAGTGTTAGTCTTCCCGGAAATCATATGAACAGCTGGCCAATGGTGCCAGTACCAAGGCATATGTAGTAGGCAGATGCCAACCAGGAGTCATTCCAGGTAAGTCATATAGAGAGACACCCCCAGACCAGCATGACGGTGGCCAGGCACCTCCACAACGCAGACCACAGAGACCTCACCTACAACAATCCGGAGAAGATCTACCACATGCCATCTACATGTACACGGGACCAGGAAATATGTGAAGCCCCCAATGTGCCATGGGGCAGGTATGATGTATGCAAAGCACACCAGTCAGTGATACTCCCTATACACCCACTGCACACTCAGCACCACATTATCTTCCCATCGCCCTCCCCACGAAGAAAATATTTTTGCCCACCTTTTTTTTACGGTCACGGGATCGACTCCTCTTCTTGCGATCCGACTCCTCCTTCTCTTTCTGCTCCGCCAGAGCCTGTGCTTCCACATCCTTGATCTTCTTCAGCTGCTTGGCGGCTTGTGCCATCTTGACCACCGGTAACCCACTGCTCCCTTCTTATAAGACTCCGTGAGACAGAAACGGGCTGCCCCCAAACCCCTTCCCCCCAGAAGGGGATGACGATCAATGTTGGCGCCGGTGAGATTTCCCCTTGGAAAACCAGTGCGGGGCTGCTTCTGAGGGTTTTAGAGCGTCAGCTCTTTGGGCTAGTCGCACTCCCCGAAAGCGTCTTCTGTTATGGCTGGCCCATATCTGTAAATAGAAAACACAAGCTGTTGAAAAGTCAATAAACATTGTGTGAGGTGGAAGAGCTCTGGCCAGGTCTAGTGCAGCACAATGTGTATACAGGACTCAGTGCCAGCAAATCTCAACCCGGGGTTCCGTGGAAGGTTCATCCAGAGAGTCCCATGGGGTCATTGAGGTCTGACTGACCTCACGTCTGATGGTACCTGCAAAGTTCTGGGGTCAATGTCACTTGGCAGAGCCACTGGCATTCCACCAATCTATCTTTTTACTGTCTATAACATGAGCCATGTGACCCCCAATGTAAGGAGCATTCTTCCCACTGACCACCAATGTAAGGAGCATTCTTCCCACTGACCCCCAATGTAAGGAGCATTCTTCCCACTGACCCCTAATGTAAGGGGCATTCTTTCCACTGACCACCAATGTAAGGGACATTCCTCCCACTGACCCCAAATGTAAGGAGCATTCTTCCCACTGACCCCCAATGTATGGAGCATTCCCCACTGACACCCACAGTGTATAACATTCTTCCCACTGACCCCCAATGTAAGGAGCATTCTTCCCACTGACCCCCAATGTAAGGAGCATTCTTCCCACTGACCCCCAATGTAAGGAGCATTCTTCCCACTGACCACCAATGTAAGGAGCATTCTTCCCACTGACCACCAATGTAAGGAGCATTCTTCCCACTGACCCCCAATGTAAGGGACATTCTTCTCACTGACCCCCAATGTAAGGGACATTCCTCCCACAGACTCCTGGTTGGTTTTATCAGAGGTCCTGTGAGACCTGAAAACGTTTTGAGGGTTCCTCTGGAGTAGGAGGATTGGGGAAGGCTGCTCCCGGCTCTTAGATGTTCTCTGCCATAGCATAACGCCCCTTCTATGAATGAGTGGACGGTGACAAGTCTACATCTGTCCTGATCCCCGTGGCCTTTCCCATACACATCCCACACTGCGTCCTGCAGACGTCTCTCCTGTTGGGACACAAACATCCCTCTCGCCGTCTCACAAGCGGCTCCCATTCACTGCAGTGCTATGCCTGTCTCTTCCTCTTTGCCCCCTCTCTTGAATATCTAATACCCCTTCCCCCCTTGTGATTGAATTGCCCCCTCTTGTCACCTGTCACCCTCCTCTCCGTTCCCTTCTGCTGCTTTCCATGTGAACACATCCCAGCCCCTCCATCATTCATCTCCCATCCTCTTCCCCAGGCAGCCCCTCAGCCTCTCTCCATGTCTGCAGCAGTCGACATATTGTACCTCTGCCTCTCCTATG